CTATGCCTAGATAATAACATTTTTTTTTTTTTTAAAAGAAACAGGGTCTTGCTATGTTGCTAAGGCTGGTCTCAAACTTCTGACCTCAAAACAATCGTCCCACCTCAGCCTCCCAAAGTGCTGGGATTATAGGCATGAGCCATTGCACCCGCCCTGTCATCATCATTGAAAAGCAGTTTAAGTACATACCAGCTGCCAACAGAGGAGACAGATGCATCCTATAGGGGAGTGGCTACAAGCACAGGCCTCAGACTCAGCCAGCCTTGAGTTCAAATCCCAGCCAGCGAAGGGATGGAATTCAACTGGTCCAGGATTAGTCAGGTGAGTAAGGCTGAGTCCTACAAGTACAAAGTCAGAGTCTGTCTTTTTTTTTTTTTTCACGTTAATATTTCATTATGAAATGTTTTCACTAATTTTGAGTTTTAAAAAATGCACTAAAATATCCTTACCTTGCTTACTGAGCCTTCTGGCTTTCCTTTACATTTTGTGCCAAACTGAGTGCTCACTCACCTCACCTAGTCCCAATATAGTTCAGTCCAATCACGTCAGTTTTGTGCGGCTGCGCAAGTCACTTTAAGTCTTGCTTTCATTGTCTGAGAAATGGAATGATTAATAGATCCTATCTTACAGGGTTTTGTAAAGTTAAATGAGGTAATGCCCTTAAAACTCTTAGCACAGGACTTGAAGGGTACGTAGGCATGCAATAAACTGCCCGTACCTTCGCCAAGTCATCTATGGCCAGGATCTGATGTGCTGCACACAGCAAACCTAGATACAGTGAGTGCCTCCTGAAGGAATCATTTGCTTGAAGACAGAACATGGGCCAGTGCCCAAAAAGTGTGTTACTGCCAAAAAGAACCACATTTTTACAAGACTGAAAATGACCCGCCAAGCCATTTCTGGACACTTAGTGACACGATGTAGCTCACTTCAAATTGGGACCCAGGCTATGAATTGAGCTGGCTGTAGGTTGTTAAAAACCATGAGCAAATTCACAGATTCAGGAGTGGAAGAAATGCCCTTTGCTGAGAATCAGCCAAAATTCTGGTGTGTGTTGGAAAACAGCAGCAAGTACTTATGCTTTGCACACACTGTCTTCAGCTCAGGCATTTGCCAGGCACCTGTAGGAATACAGGCTGGAGAAATAGGCGAAGCTACTTGCAAACACGTGCACCGGCCAAGGCTGCTCTATGTCCTGTAATGCATATAGCACATGGTAGGAGTGAATTCAGGGTGAAAAGATGTGCTAAGAAACACATGATGTCAACCACATCTGCCCTACCACACATTCTGGGAAAATGACAGCTTTTGCCTTCAATGAGCATGTTGCCATTTCCAAAGAACCATGATTTAGTGTATCATATAAAAGTACAACAGTCAAGCTGGACCCATTTCAAATTTACTAGTAAAATTAGAATCAGTTCTTTGGAAATTGAAAAACTTTCAGCCAAGAGATTCATTCTGGTTTGATGACATTTGTGAAATTGTTCCATGCTTAAGGTTTTATGTATTGAAAACATCTGTCCTATTTCCTAAGGTAAAACTCAATGCTAAAAGGAATGACAGTGAAAAAGGTGACTGATGAACTTTTGAGTTTCAACTCTCTTTAGTACTTGGAGCCTGGAAATAGCATGTGAGATTAGAATGTGGATTCCCCCACAAAGATGTCCACATCCTAATCCCTGGAATCTGTGAATATGCTGCTTTTGCAAGGAGCTTTGCAGATATGATTCAATTAAAAATCTTGAGATAGGAAGATTATCTTGGATTATATTCATGGGTCTAAATGAATCTCATACATCTTTAAAGTCAGACAACCTTTTCTTACCGTGGTCGGAAGGTGATATTCCTGCAGAAGAAAGGTTAGAGAGACACAACTTTGCTGGCTTTGAAAATGGAGGAATAGGCCATAAACAAAGGAATGTGAGCAGCTGTAAGAAGCTAAAAGACAAGGAAACAGATTTCCCCAGAACCTCCAGAAAGGAATGCAGCCCAGCTGACACCCTGATTTTAGTCCAGTGCAACCTGTGTTGGACTTCTAACTTAAACAAGTGTAAGGTAATACATCTGCCTTTTTTTTTTTCGAGACGGAGTCTTGCTCTGTTGCCCAGGTTGGAGTGCAGTGGCACGATCTCGGCTCACTGTAACCACCGCCTCGTGGGTTCAAGCGATTCTCCTGCCTCAGCCACCACATTCAGTTAATTTTTGTATTTTTAGTAGAGACGGGGTTTCACCATGTTGGTCAGGCTGGTCTCGAACTCCTGACCTCAGATGATCTGCCCACCCAGGCCTCCCAAAGTGCTGGGATTACAGGCGTGAGCTGCCATGCCTGGCTACATCTGTCTTATTTTAAGCCACACAGTTTGTGGTGATGTGTTATAGCAGCAAAAGGCAATACACAGCTGAAATTATATAACTTTTCATTCGTCAATTTCATGATATATTATAGCTTTACTAGGTATTTCAAATACCTAGTATTTGAAATACTATACCCCTAGTATAGTATTTTTAAAATTCTACTATTTTTATTATTGGGTCTTGCATCCTAGTTTTCTTTTCCTCATTTATCCGAGGATGACAGGGCCTACAGATTCTCGATGAGACTCTAGATACGAAAAAAGAACCTGGAATTATTCCCCAAGAAGCTCCTCCTTCTGAAACCAAGAGGTGAGGAATGCTCGCTGCTCCAGGACATGCCCAGTGACATGAAAAGCTGTGTGCATGGGAATTGGGCCATGAAGTGCAAGATGTAAACCCTTGAAATCATTTTTAATGAAACATAAACATTTGAGTTAGCATGAGGGCCCAGTTTCTGGGTGGGTGGCTCCAGCTTTGGCAATCAGGCAATAGAGGGAAAATTCTCCGGCTCTAATGCCCTCCAGATGTTCTTTTGGTCCCAGCTGAAAATTTTTCATCATTTATGGTTAATATTTTTGTCAGCAGCAGAGTTTTGTTATAATGTCTTCAAACTGGTGGTAGTGACCATTAGTCATTAGACAATCCCCAAATAAGAGTTTAATCTTTGGGTCTCTGTAAGTATTTCATTATATTTCACTTAATGAATAGTTGCTTATTAGTTTAGTCATCAGAATGTTCTGTTTGTATGACGGGGGACTACATGATTCTATCTGATAACAGCCGATCACTGATCTCAGGTATAAAATGCAATGTCCTATTGTAACAATGGCTGGCATTACAACCGGCAACTAGAAGACAAAAATGATGATGTCAGAAGGCAGTCATCTTGAGTGAATAAATAAGAGGCTTATTGCAAATTATAATGGACTTCATCATAGAATTTTAATTAACTATTCCATTCACACCCATTGGAGACTATTGAAGCAGTTATTTTTGAGAAGCACTCTGGGAAATTGAGGTTAAAAAAAGACAACCTCCATTTTCTGGAACAATAATGTTATGACTGCCAACACTTAATAAAAGCTGACCACCTAGCCAGCTTTTGTGTATGGTGGTGCACACCTGTAATTCCAGCTACTTGAAAGGCTGAGGAATGAGAATTGCCTGAATCCAGGAGGTGAAGGTTGCAGGGAGCAGAGATCGTGCCACTGCACTCAAGCCTAGATGACAGTGAGACTCTGTCCCCCGTCCCTGCCCCCCAAAAAATTGACCATGCAGGATCTATCCTGGAATACAGTTTAATTGCATAACATAATCTGAAGATGAGCAAATTACTTATATGCATGCCTTGATCTATCTCTATCTGAGGAATGGGAAGAACACAGTTTACTTTTCTAGAAGTTGCTTCTGAGAATTGCAGTCCATGCTCCATCCTGAATCCACAAGGAAAGGCCTTCACACTATACATGGCAATTGCAATTAGTTATTGTCTTCTGCTTACAGTGCAATGGGCTGGTGGCCTCAGTTATATCAGAAACGTGTTAGAAGAGCCTATTGTGACTTGCATGTTTTTAAAGGGCTTGAGTGGTAACTGGCTAATAAGACATGTTGATACTGTCTGCAGCTTTTAATAAGTGTTTTTTCTTTGTGCTTAATACTCATTAGTATGACTAGGTAATTTTTGATGTTGACTCACCAGGGCATTTGGTTTCATGGGTCCTTAGGGGCCTGGATTATAGGCCCTTCATGACGTTTAGTGACTAAATCATACGGAACAATAGAATCTCTTTGAAACTTTGTCTTTTTTAAAAAATTAAATGATAATAAATCATTCGACTCTACATGAAATCTTTTTATTTTATTTTCTTTACTTATTTAGAGACAGGGTCTTGGTCTGTTGCCCAGGCTAGATTGTGGTGTGGTCGTGGCTCACTGTGGACCTGAGCTCCTGGGCTCAATGGATCCTCCTGCCTCCGGCCTCAGTCCCTCCTTCAGCTGGGACTACAGGTGCATGACGCCATGCCCAGATAATTTCTTACTTTTTGGATAGATGGGGAGGATCTCCCTTTGTTGCTCAGACTGGTCTCAAACTGCTGACCCTGAGTGATCCTCCCACCTTGACCTCCCAAACCTAGCCTAGTACTCTAGGAGTTTCCCTGCCTGCAGAGAGGAATGGTGCTTTGCTAGAACTGCTAGAACAAGGAAAAGATGGCCAGGTGCAGTGACTCATGCCTGTAATCCCAGCACTTTGGGAGTCTGAGGTGCGCAAATCATCTGAGGTCAAAAGTTCGAGACCAGCCTGGCCAACATGGTGAAACCCCAACTCTACTAAAAATACAAAAATTAGCCCAGTGTGGTGGTGGGTGCCTGTAATGCCGGCTACTCAGGAGGCGGAGACAAGAGAATCACTTGAATGTGGGAGACGGAGGTTGCAGTGAGCCAAAATGCCGCCATTGCACTCCAGCCTGGGTGACAAGATTGAGACTCAGTCTCAAAAGAAAAAAAAATTATATTAAATTTTTAAAAAAGAACAAAGAAAAGATGTTACCACGAACTCTAAAATGGCACACTTGCAAATTTCTCACTGGGAAAGACGTCTCGTCTTCCTTGTGTTGTTCCCGTTTTCTTTCTCACGCAGGGTCCAACAGAGATGACATCAGTAGAAGCTCAGGCTAGAAGGGAGACGCGGCAGCAGCAGGCCCGGTCTGCCCCGCCCCCAAAAGTGACTGGCAGCACACACAGCCTGGATCTACAAGATTTTACAAAACATATATGTTTTGGTTTTCACAAATCCTCCCATCTGTTGGTAAGTACTTTTGAAAACTGAAATCTCATTCTTCCATGACATTTTCCAACAGACATTCTCTGTATAAAATCTTCTCCGACTACCCTTAACTTGCTCTGAAGCCCGAGGCTCATTTCCATCTGTAATTCTGACATCTACCATCTTACAGAGGCTTCTGTAATAACCAAGGCAATGAGCACCAGTCCCTGTTCTCTCAGCAATCCAACCCTCTGAAGCAAGAAAATGCACCCCTCTGCCAGGTGAGGGTCTGGTTTTTTCTCCTTAAAATCAGCATGAAATAGTTTGGCAATCCCAGGTGATGTGATATGATGTGATGCGATAAAGGGGGTAGCCAGCAGTTTGGGAGGCCGACGCAGGTGGATCACCCGAGGTCAGGAGTTCGAGACCAGCTCCTGGCCAATGTGGTGAAACCCCTTGTCTAGTAAAAATACAAAAATTTGCCAGGCGTGGTGGTGGCAGCCTATAATCCCAGCTGCTCAGGAGGCTGAGGCAGGAGAGTGAACCTGGGAGGTGGAGGTTGCAGTGACCCGAGATCGTGCCATTACACTCCATCCTGGGTGACAAGAGCAAAACTCCATCTCAAAAAAATGGGGGTGGGGGATAACCAGGAAGAAGCCCTGTTCTAATTCCAGACAGGTTTTTCCCTTGTCCACCCTGTTGCAGATCACATTGTTTAATGCAACAGTAATAATGCAATTATAACAACAGAGAAGAGAATTTGCATTTATTTATTTTAATTTCGTTTTTTCTAAGTCAGTATTTTGCTTCATCGCCCAGGCTGGAATGCAGTGGTGTGATCATAGCTCACTGCAAGCTCTTCCTCCTGAGCTCAGGTGATCCTCCCACCTCAGCCTCCTGAGTAGCTAGGACCACAGGCATCTGTCACCAAACCTGGCTAATTTTTAAAAATTTTTTTGTTAAGACAGAGTTTCGCCATGTTGCCCAGGCTGGTCTCGAACTCCTGAGCTCAAGCTATCTGCCTGCCTCTGCCTCCTAAAGTGCTGGGATTACAGACATGAGCCGCCACCCCCAGCCTCAGCATTTATTGAGCCTTGAATATGTGCCAGACACTCTGCTAAGCATGTGACATTCATTATATTATCCAATCCACAGACTAACCTAAGAACGAGTTACCATTAGTACATTCATCCCATCATACAGATGGGCCTGGAACAGCTAAGATAGTTGCCTTTTGGGTCAAGCGCTGTCCACTTTCTTCTCTTGCTTTTAATATATATTTATTGATTCTTTCAACAAAGATTTATTGAGCACCTATTATGTCCCAGGCCCTATTTAATCTTTATATATTCTTGTACATTGATGAAGATGTCACTAGCTCAATAAACCTCTTTGTTCTAAGAGAAGAAAGAAGTTTCTGTAAAAGCAGGGGCTTCTGAGAAAACAGGGGAATGTGAACTTCAGACTTCACGGCCTTCACACACTTCTGCCCTGAGCAGCGCTGATAAGAATCCAGTCTCTCAGGTTGAGGTATGTCACTTTCACCTTTTCAACTGGGTGGGGAGAATGATATCTGGGGAATGTGAAGTGTTTTTTACTGCAGGCTTCCTGCAAAGACCAAAGGAAGAGATAGGGCCTGAAAAATGATGGGGAATTCCCAGACCTGAGAAAACTGGTTAGTAAACTTGGAATCCTGGTGCCCCCATCTGAAAGGGCCTCTGACGTCTCCCTTAGATAAGTTCTCTATTAGAAGCAAGATCCCCTATTAACAAATGGTCAGACCACTTCCGCCTGCACATACTGTGAGTGCTGGCGAACTCTCTCTCTCATGAGGCAGCCCATTCTGGTGCTAAACAGAATGTTTTTCCTCATACCAAGCCAGGAATCTGCCTCCATATCTACTCATTGGTCCCAGATCAGTTCTTGGATGTCATGAATACTAATCCGATCAGGAATAATAAGTCACGAACAATAAATCTGGAAGAGCTTTCATAGGAGCGCTTGTCTAGAAAATCAGAAGCCTTGTCTCCACTAAGACTTTCTTGTCTTCTTCCTTCAGCTTCTCTTACATGTCATGATTCCAAATGCTTTATTATCCTGGCTGGAGCAAGGGGAGCTGTGAATGAATGGGCTGGACACGGACACGTTGGGGCTTACTCAGAGGAGCCATTATTAATAAACACCCACTGAAGTAACAAGAAACTATGAAGGAGGGGCTGGGGCCTCGCCTGTGGCCATTAGGATGTGGACAAAATGTCTTTGGAATGGAAGAGGTCTCTGGGACCAGGGATCATCTGGCTGGTATTTGAGTCCCTGCATAGCGCTGTGACACTCACGACAGTCTTTTTAAGGCCAGGCTTCTGTGTCTGAAGAAGGACCCAGGAAGTAAATATAATTGCTCTAAGTAGCATGCTTGACCTAGGCAATTTATGCAGCCATCTCTGAGGAGAATTTCAATTACAGGGAGGAAAGGGACCGGGGGAGTCAAACCTTATGGATTCTTTTTAAACATTTTTTTATTTGAGACAGAGTTTTGCTCTGTTGCCCAGGCTGGAGTGTAATGGTACAATCATGGCTTACTGAAGCCTTGACCTTCCAGGCTCAAGTGATCCTCCCACTTTAGCCTCCCAAGTAGCTGGGACTGCAGGTGCACACCACCATGCCCAGCTGATTTATGGAATCTGAGTGTGGTCTGGAAGACCCCAAACTTGCAACTATTTTCTGAAGGGGCTGTTCCATTACACTTTGCAGCTTGCTAAACTCTATTACAGCCCCTAACTCTAGAGAAATAAACTCAGACATTTTATCCAGGTTTTTGTTTGGTTTTGTCCTGTTTTGTTTTTGAGATGGAGTCCTGTTCTGTCACTCAGGCTCGAGTGCAGTGTCGTGATCTCAGCTCATTGCAACCTCCACCTCCCAGGTTCAAGCGATACTCCTGCCTCAGCCTCCTGAGTAGTTGGGATTACGGGCGGCCGCCACCATGCCCAGCTAATTTTTGTATTTTTAGTAGAGATGGGGTTTCCCCATGCTGACCAGGTTGGTCTCCAATTCTTGACCTCAAATGATCCACCTGCCTTGGCCTCCCAGAATGCCGGGATTACAGGTATGAGCCACTGTGCCCAGATTCTTTATCCAGTTTTGTGCTTCCCTCTGCGACAAGGTGTCCCCAGAGCTAAGGGGACATAGCTGTCCTCTTTCTGGATCACACTCCTGGGTGTGCAGGTGACTGGCGTTTGGATGCATGTGCTGGGACATCCACGTGGGTGAGAATGAGTCCCCGGCAGCATGGAAGGAATGAGAGGACAAAGGGGTGAGCTATGGAACAGAGGCCTGCAGCCAGGGCTGCTCTCCCCACATGACCATATTCCACTGCGGAATTCCAGACAGTTGAGAATTCTAAATCTGAACTTGGATTTCAAGGTCATCATAATATTTTTTCAAAGTAGCAAGCTCCCTTTTCAGTTTAGTTCATTTTAATAATTTATGTATTTATTTATTTTATTTTCAACTTTTATTTTAGGTTCAGGGTGTATGTGAATGTTTGTTATATAGGTAAACTTGTGTCAATGGGGCTTGCTATACAGATTATTTCATTTCCCAGGTACAGGTACTAAGCTTAGTACCCAATAGTTATTTTTTTCTGCTCCTCTCCCTCCTCCCACCCTCCACCCTCAAATAGATGCCCAGTATCTGCTGTTCCCTTCTTTGTGTGTGTGAGTTCTCATCATTTAGCTCCCACTTATAAATGAGAACATGGGGGATTTGGTTTTCTGTTTCTGCATTAGCTTGCTAAGGATAATGGCCTCCAGTTTCATTCATGTTCCCCAAAAGTAGCTTATTTTTTGAAAGCTACTTAAATTTTTTTTTTTTTTTTTTTTTTTTTTTTTTTTTTTTTTTTTTTTTTTTTTTTTTTTTTTTTTTTTTTTTNTGTTGTTGTTGTTGTTGTTGAGATAGGATCTCACTATGTTTCCAAAACTGACCTCAAACTCCTGGCCTCAAATGATCCTCCCACTTTGGCCTCCCAATGTGCTGGAATTACAGGTATGAGCCACCATTTTCACTGCAAAGCTTATGGATTCTTTACTGCTCTCAACTCTCATGAAAACAAACACCATAAATCCTAGTTCCTTCACTGTCATAAATTTTGTATGACAGTTCCTTATATTTTGTAAGGAACTGAAATTGAGAAAAGACCACTAATGGCAATCTAGCATTTCTATTCCTGGAAACTTATATTTTTATAGCATTATTTATATTATAAATAATGATAAAAAGACCAGAGACCAAAGGGGGAGGTAGGGTCCTGAAAAATTGTAAGGAATTCCCAGATCTGGGAAAACTCATGAATAAACTTGGAATCTTGGTGTCCCCATGCAAAAGGGTCTCAAAGTTCTCTGAGTCCACCCCTTAGACAAATTCTCTAGCCCCACTTTGGTCTTATTATTTGTATGAGGGTAAGTTATTTTGTTGATTGCCTCATTGATAATATCAGAGAGATTGGTTAAGTATGGGAAGTTTGGTTATAAACTAACTTTGGACATTCAAAGCCATGTTCATATAATAATGCAAATGTTACTTTATCATTATGTCTTCTACTTAACAGGGTAACTTTTCTTATTGTTTCTTCAACTATGTTGAGTGCTACACTTGCCGTTAGCTTTGGTCATGATGCATTCTTTACAATGCCTAGGTGGTATGGTGGATAGAATTATCCCCATTTTACAGGTAATGGAGATGAGGCTGAGAAACTGAGACGAGTTCAGTATCTTGCATAGAGTTTCATGGCTCAGAATAGTAGAGCCCAAATCATATACCAATCTCCTACCCAGTGCTTTTCACTCTGCAGAATTCCCAACAACGTGAACTAACTAAAATGGAGGCCTAAGGGTGAAATTCATGTAAGCCATTTAAATTCCAGATCTCGTTGAAAATGTGAAAGGCATTAATTAGACCTACCAATTGAACAACTAAAAAGAAAATAAGACTTAATCATCTCCTAAACAAAATCACAAGAAAAACCCAAGTCTTTCAAAATCTTACCAAGGGTCAGTTTTTAGAAGACAATGGTTCTTTTTGCACGAGAGCCATTTGGTGTTGGTCACTCAGTCTAACTTGATTCTTTAGATTCATTGGGTTTTCTTTTTCCTCCCCTAAGCAGTTGTTAGGCATCTGCTAAGAATAAGGCACATGAAATGCTTCTATTAAAGAAAATGTTTGGCTGTCAAAAGATTAATATTATAGAGATGGAAACCAGGCCTGTCACTGAGGTTTGGCAACTGCTATGTCAAAGCCTCACATCTGGCTAACCTCAAACCGGTCTCTTAATTAAAGAGTAAAATTTAAGGAGAGTTCATATAATTCTTTGGAGGTTTCAGATAAGATTTTCTTGACTGGATATAGTAATCTATTTGGGGAGGGGGAACTGAAAATATTCTTTTCACTTTCTTGTAAGATATGTGTTAGTCTTGGCTCTAAAAGAGAAATTTTAATCCAAGATTCTCAAGGAACTCTTCACAGATTCATTCATTTTGGAGAAACATAACTTTATTCCTTCCATTCCACAGATATTTAAATGGGTCCTCGAGGTTCAGAGTCTGTTTTCCTCCCAGTGGATACCCCTCTATTTAATTTTGAAGAACAACAACCATAATTTATGATAATAGCATGCATCTTAAATGTTAGTTCCATATCTACCTCAGAGAGGTATCTGAGAAATTGCTGGGCCCAGTGTCTTCATCTGACCATCTACCATCCATTCATCCACCACTCATCCATCCCCCATCTAGCTATCTACTATCCACCATCCATTCATCCATCCATCCATCCATCCACCCACCATCCACCCACCACCCACTCGTACATCTATTCATTATCCATCCACCATGAATCCACCCATCTCCCATCCATCCATTCTTCTACCGTCTACATCCATCCACCACCTATCCAAACACCATCTATCTACCCAGTTACCATCTACCACCCATCCTTCCATTCATCCATCCATCATCCACCCATTTATTCATCTGTCCACCATTCACCCATCCACCATCCATCCACCCATCTACCATCCGTCCATCCATCTACCATCCATCCATCCATCACCCATCCATCCATCTGTCCATCATTCATCCATTCACCATCTTTCTTCCCATTTATCATCCATCCATTCACCACCCATCCATCTACCACCCATACATCCATGTATTCATTCATTCGCCACCTCCATTCATTTATCCGCCCATCTACCATCCATCCATTCATCTACTATGCATTCATCCATTCACCACCCATCCAACCATATCCATCTACCACCATCCATCAACCCATCTACCATTCATCCATTAATCTATTATCATTCATCCATCCACCACCCATCTATCCATTTATCAATCCATCTACCACTCATTCAGCTATTCATTCGTTCATTCATCCATCTATCCATCCACCACCTATCCACTATCCATCCATCTATTCATCCATCCATCTCCACCCACTATTCACCCATGAATCCATAAATTCATCTGTTTATC